CGCCTTCGGACACACTTAGGGATTATAACCCTCACTACGTAGAATTCTCCTTTCTGTGTTGCCGAAGAAGGGGGGCTAAACACCTTTTGCAGAGAACACCTTTCTGCGTAGGAGGCCTTCGGCCGCACTTAGGGTTTATAACCTTCACTACGTAGAATTCTCCTTTCTGTGTTGCCAAAGAAGGGGGGCTGAACACCTTTTGCAGAGAACACCTTTGTATACTTTTAATGCTTACTGGGTTATATCCTATCTCCTTTTGTCTCCCATTCTTTTGCATATTTTGGAGTTTGACAGCTGAACTCCGCCATTTAATTTGCTTATGCAACCAAAGAAAACGCGTGATTTTGAAGGTGTTTTTATTTAATGAATTGTGATTAATTGGTTAATATTAAAGCCGTAAATAAAGTTATAACTAATCGAGTACAGTGTAAAGTGAAGGGGAATACAAAAATATATTGGCGAAGTGGCTGCTTTAAAGAGAATAGGAGTGATAAATGTACGCTAATTTGCGAATTTTACAAAAAAGAGCATATTTCAAACCCAATTTGTAAATAAACTAGTGCCCAAAATTTACAAGTGGGTGTTAGAAAAATGCGTAGACCCTTGACTATAAGTGCGTGGAATTTTTTTTGGATCGGGCCACCCCTTTGGACGGAATAGCCCGAAATAGTTGGGAGCGCTACTAAACCCCACCCATTAAAAGACTTGCAGAATATACAAATATATTATTTTCATTTTAAAGGTGCATCTTTTTCCTTCCGAGCGGGCCAAAGTCTGTTCCTAAATAGCGAGCCCAACGTGGGTAACGCACACCTAAGTGAACGTCGGTCTGTGTGGGTAGGGCAATGAAGGTGCTTTCAGTAACTTCCGTGAAGCCGTTCTTATCAGCTTTAGAAAAGTTGACATGGGTTAGGTATTCCGCGGAATCAAAGTCGGCAGGTTTGTCAATCGAGATGATTATGGGCAATTGTTCTGATGGCAATGTCAGCATAGGTCGCCACGTTATGCTGTTTGTCAGACCAGCACTTAAGATTGTTGTCATGCGAGCTACTGCAGCTGCCCGTAATCCTGGTGGGTGCATCGTTGTTCATTGTGCAGAATGTTGAATCGTCTGTCCTCTCAGCGAAGTGCGTTCGCCTACGTTCATTACACAGGCTTGAATGACAAGGAACTGGAAGGTGGGGAGAGTGGTCCCACTGCTCAAACCGGGGAAATCTGCTAACAAAGGAGATTCGTATCGGCCGATAACACTCCTTTCCCCGGTAGTGAAGACACTTGAGGCCTTGCTGCTCCCGATTTCACGAACCACCTGAGTCCAGCGAAGCATCAGCATGGTTTCCGTAAAGTGCACAGTACAACAACAGCACTTAACGCCATAAACACTCCGATAACTCGTGGCCTTAACCGTAACCGCCCCTGTGACAGAACGGTTCTAGTAGCATTGGACTTGTCAACGGCTTTTGACACCGTCAGCCATTCCACGCTGCTAGAATATATTGAGGCTTCCTCTCTCCCACAGAGGCTCAAACGGTGGTCGGCAAATTATCTGAGTGGTCGACACTCGTCGGTAATGTTTAGAGACAAATCGAGCAAACTCAGGAAAATAAAACAGGGGGCTCCACAGGGTGGTGTCCTTTCCCCGCTACTGTTCAACTTTTATAGTTCAAAGTTCCCTCAACCACCAGAGGGAGTCTCGATTGTCTCTTACGCCGACGATTGCTCGATCATGACGACTAGGACTGGAAATGATGACTTGTGTTCGAACTTAAACAGGTATCTCTCCGATCTTTCTCGCTTCTTCACTGCAAAGTGTCTAGCCCTCTCCCCTACGAAATCCTCTGCGACTTTGTTCACCACCTGGACGAAGGAGGTCAGGCTTCTTCTTCTTCTTTTTTGGCGCTGTAACCGCCTAAGCGATTTTGGCCGAGTTCAGCAAAGCACGCCAGTCGTTTCTCTTCTGTGCCAACTGACGCCAATTGGAAACGCCAAGTGAAGCCAAGTCCTTCTCCACCTGATCTTTCCATCGCAGTGGGGGCCTCCCTCGGGTTCCGAGTTGAATGCTTTCAGAGCTGGAGCGTCGGGGTCCATTCGAACGACATGACCAAGCCAGCGGAGCACCTGTATTTTAATTCGCTGCACTATGTCCATATCGTTGTAAAGCTCATACAGCTCATCGTTCCATCGTCTGCGGTACTCGCCGTCGCCAACGCGTAAAGGCCCGTAAATCTTCCGCAAAATCTTTCTCTCAAACACTCCAAGAGCCGCCTCATCGGATGTTGTCATTGTCCATGCTTCTGCGCCATATACCAGCACGGGCATGATGAGTGACTTATAGAGCGCGGTTTTCGTACGTCGAGAGAGGACTTTACTCCTGAATTGCCTACTCAGTCCAAAG